TTTTCTTTTTTTGTGAGACAGGGTCTCACTTTGTCACCCAGGCTGGAGTACAGTGACACAATCACAGATCACTGCAGCCTCAACCTCCCCAGGCTCGGATGACTGTCCTACCTTAGCCTCCTCAGTAGCTGGGATTACAGGCAAATGCTACCATGCCCGGTTAATTTTTATATTTTTTCTAGAGACAAGATTTTTGCCATGTTGCCCAGGCTCGTCTCAAATTCCTGGGCTCAGGTGATCCTCCTCCTTCCCAAAGTGCTGGGATTACATGCGTGAGCCACTGCACCCAGCCTGGGGGAACATTTTTAATGAGCAAGAAGGAACACCCCTGAAGTCCCTAACATTCTGGAGAATGTGCTGGCTTGAGGGCGAGCCTGGGTCTCACATCTCACCTGCCAAACAGCCCCTCATGCAGAGTGGCAGGACTGAGGTGAGGAATACACAACGCTCAGTGAGAATCTGAGTCCCTTTGGGGGGTCTGGCTCGCGTGCACATGCACTTGCCAGGGTGAGGGGGACAGTGGGGCTGGCAGTGGGTAATGAACCCCACTGGGGGAGGCCATACTGACCCGAGGCCAGCTCTGGGATGGCCTGATGTTCATCTCACTGAGCCCTCACACAGACTTTGCCAGAGAAGCCCTTGGCCCCACGTAGGACAGTCTGGGAGGTAGCCCTAGTAGGGGATGCTTGGCCACCTGCATGGGCCTTCCCCTACCCCTCTTTTCTCTTCATCCTCAGCCTGCCAGCCTCTTGGGTTTCACTCACATTTTCCTTAGCGCTTTGGGAACCCTGGTGATCTTTTGTTTTGTTTTGTTTTGTTTGTTTGTTTGAGACAGAGTTTCTCTTTTGTTACCCAGACTGGAGTGCAATGGCGTGATCTCAGCTCACTGCAGCCTCTGCCTCCCAGGTTCAAGCGATTCTCCTGCCTCAGCCTCACGAGTAGCTGGGATTACAGGCACCCATCACTATACCCAGCTAATTTTTTGTATTTTTAGTAGAGACAGGGTTTTGCCATGTGCCAGGCTGGTCTTGAACTCCTGACCTCAGGTAATCCACCTGCCTTGGCCTCCCAAAGTGCTGGGATTACAGGTGTGAGTCACCGCGCCCAGCCCTCTGGTGATCTTGAGCACAATAGTTTTCATACTTTTGAAAACAATCATTTCCACCAGGAAGCTGCACATGGAGACCCGGGACACAGAGGACAATGTGAGCCTGGACTGGCCAGAGTCCCTCCGGGGTCCACTGAGCACAGGTGGACCCCACTGCCGGGGCAGCCCTCACTCCCATTTGACAAATGGGAAAACAGAGTCCCCGGGTCACACAGCAAGTCAAGGAGAGGAGCAAGAGTGAAGCTCAAGTCTCTGGCCTTTGGGACTGGCTCTGTTGAGGTCACCCCAGGCCCTGCCTCCATCCAGGCACCTCACCTCTGATTTCTCTCTGCGCACGCACAGGCCCATCCCTGCCACCCAGCTGCCCTTTTTTTGTTCCCATAGTATTCACTATGGCCTCTAACAAACCATGTCATTTGCTCAGTTTCCTAGGACTATTGTTTATCGATGGCTTCCTACCACTAGAAAGTCAGCTCCACCATTTGGCCGGGCATGGTGGCTCACACCTGTAACTTGAGCCCAGGAGTTCGAGACCAGCCTGGCCAATTTTAGTAGAGAGGCGAAACCCCGTCTCTACTAAAAATACAAAAATTAGCTGAGTGTGGTGGCGGGCATCTGTAATCCCAGCTACTCGGGAGGCTGAGGCAGGAGAATAGCTTGAACCCGGGAGGCAGATGTTGCAGTGAGCCGAGATTGCGCCACTGCACTCCAGCCTAGGGGATAGAACAAAACTCGGTCTCAAAAAAAAAGGTGGGTGCAGTGGCTCACGCCTATAATCCCAGCAATCTGAGAAGCCGAGGTGGGCGAATCACCTAAGGTCAAGAGTTCAAGACCAGCCTGGCCAACATGGTGAAACCCCGTCTCTACTAAAAATACAAAAATTAGCCGGGTGTGGTGGTGGGTCCCTGTAATTCCAACTACTCAGGAGGCTGAGGCAGGAGAATCGCTTGAACCTGGGAGGTGGAGGTTGCAGTGAGCCAAGATCGCGCCACAGCACTTCAGCTTCAGGGACAAAGCAAAACTCTGTCTCAAAAAAAATAAAAATAAAAAATAAAAGAAAGTCAACTCCACCAGGGCTGGGCCTCTGCTGTCCGGGCTGTATTCCAGGTGCCCAGCAGTGTCTGGCAGACAGCGGCCAGGTACCAGTGTCCCTTCTTGGTTATGGTTGCTCACTCCGTTCGGCCCTCAGCGAAAGTGCAGGGATAGGTCAGAGCTGATTCTCCCCTCACCAGGGCCTGCTGCTCCGGGTCCCCCACTCAGCATTCCTGGCCACCTCCCCTGAGGAAGAACCTGAAGAGACACCATCTCTGTACCTGTCTCTCCAGAGACCCCAAACCCAAATGGCCTCCAGGCCTAGAACCACTTCCTCCGCATCCTACTATTGTTCATGTCTGCACCGACCCCCACCCTGCCAGGCCTCCCCCAGCTCTCTGTGCCTTCTCTCTCAAAGCTTCCAAAGCGACCTGCTTCAGGCCCCCTTCCAGGCCCCTTTCCTGCTCCCAAACCGTGAAGGCTCCCCAGACCCAACTCCCTGGCCTGACAGAAAAGGCCCTTTCACATCTGGACCAGCCTCCCTCCTTTACTCATCTCCCTCCAGACCACCTCAAATCTGGCTGCCCACCCTTCCGGGGGGATGCCCGGTGCTTGGTGACCTCCGTGCCTCTGCATCCCTAGAGCCCTCCACAGCACACACTTCCTGGATGGACACCTGCTCGTCCTCCAGGACCAGCACCGAGCTGCTTCTTCCACAGGGCCTTGCGGGCCCACTCTCGGCCTCCTCAGCCGCGTGAGGAGCCTGAGTTCATTCCTGCATCCGCACACCCAGTGCCAGGCACAGGGCAGGCACCACGAGGACACCGGTGGACAAAGATGGCTGCAGGAGGCTCTGGCAGCCTTTGGTGGCTCTGGATCTGTTTGGCGACCGTGGGTCCAGCCTCAACGTTTCTCCAAAGTCCCAGCAGGGCAGCCAGAATGCAAACAGGGTACCCCTCCAGCCCTCCCCGGCTTCCGTTCAGGGGCCGCTCCACACCCACCTAAGCCAGGCTGGTGCCCTCCTGCCACATCACAGCCACCGATACCACACATGCAGGCAGGAGAGGGACGAGGGCTCAGTGTGGGGGGGGGTGGGGGGGGTCTGGGAAGGGGCAGGAAAGAGAAGACCTTGAGAATCATGGGCCGTTTCCTGAGTGCATACCAGCTTCTCCCCTCAATCGAGGGTGGAGGGAACAATGGGTGTAACTGGTGGGAGGGAGGGGTTGTGACCTCCCTCATACCCCTCCTCTTCCAACCATCAGTGACACTGCCAACCTGAGGGGGCGTCTGTGCAGGAACAAACCCACCCTCCTCCCATCATCTCGAGGGGTCCTCCTTTGATTTTATACAACTTTACATTATTTTTGGAAGTGGAGCTCTGCAAAGTTTCAAGGATTCCCATGCCGGAGTCCCCACCCTGAGCAGACACCGTGGAGCGCCCTACCCTGCACGCAGGGGCATGAGGCTGGCCAGAGAGGGGGTCCCGCACCTCCCTGCCCGGCGTCCCTCACCCGTGCAGCACTTGGACCTCCAGATCTTCCCCAGCAGCAAGATCATGGCCAGGAGGTGGCTCAGGTCGCCGAGGATTCGGAACACGTTCATGGTCCGGCCCGTCGGTCGTGCGCCCGCGCCCAGCAAACTTCTAGGAAACTTTCTAGCGGGCAGGGCGGCTGCCACGTCCCCGGCCCTGGTCTCTAGGTGCCCTAGAGCCCTGCCTGCGCCTCACAGCTCCGCGTTCGCACCCGCCGTGCCG